TGCTTTAAGGCACATACTGATGGTCGCCTCAGTGTGACAGAGCCTAAGGTATCTGGTTTATCTGTCACTTCTAGGTAAAGTCACCTTTTACACTGACTTTTTCAGCTAACTTGACTAAAATTAGTGTCTGCCCACAGTTGCAGTGAAGTTATTTCGCCGTTTTAGGTTCTCATCAAGATTCAGATGTGTTCTTGAATTTCTATTTGCAATTACCTTCTTTTCTAATCTCAACTTAGACTATCCCAGTAGTGCTTGGTTCTACTTTTTTGCTGATTTCTATTTTTCACACAAAAACAATTTGTGTTATTTTTCTTAGCAAAAACTGTGCAGTAAATAACTTATTTTTTCTAACCAAACCTTCTTTTCTGTGGAGCAAAAGCTTTTAGAAGTTATAAAGAGGCAGATCGCAAAGTCCATACAGTGAAAATGCTATCAGAAAAAATTGGATTTCCCACTGATGTGTTTGATGTGTCCACCCAATCCTTGGCAAAAACTGATTTCAATGACTAAATTAAGCAAAAAGTAAGCTAATGGATTATTCTTTCAGAAGTCTTTGTGTTTAGATAGCCCAAGAGATGGCTAAGGCAAGAAACAGGACTATGATTCTGGCCTTCACTTCTGCAGCAATTTGTACTTTTAAGTTTCTCTGTGCCTTACCTCTCAAGACTAAGCAGTGGGAGAGACCATGCTGAGAATTCAGAGTACTGAGAAAAGTTTTAAAAGTTCTCAGAAACTACAGGCTGTTATATAGCACAGATTATCAATAGTTCATCCAGATGGTCCCAGTCTGCTCATGAAACGGACTAATTACTGAACGCAATCTACCAAAAATCTCACCATCTTACCACACAGGTGGGCCACAAACAAATGGAGAGGAAACATGGAGATGTGAGCAGAACCTCATCTTGTCATAGCAAAGTTCTGGTTCCAGAACCAGACTCAGGACTAACCTTGGTCTTGGCTGCATCTTTGGATTTGTCTTCCATTTGAGAATAGGTTCAAACCGATCTCATTGATGTAAGTAGTTTGGATTTTGTTCTGTTTGTTGTTTTCCAGTATGATTTATTTAATTATTCCCCCAAATTGTATAGTTATTTACATTTCGTACATTGTACCTTGCAGCCACTTACAGTCTTCAAGATCTCTATCCAGTGTTGTCATACTTGAAGACACAGATTAGTCAGGTTCATCTTTATTTCAGATATTGCTTGGAAATGAGAGAGAAACCACTGAGTTTGAGTCTGATTTCTTCCATATGCTACTAATACTATATAAAAAGATGCTATATAAATATATGTACTATATGAATAGATGCTGAAACACTTCCATGACTTAACTGTTCTCTCCAGGTACTTGCACTTAGCCATCCTGAATCCATTTTGTTCTAGGTCAATTGCATTTGTGTTTGGATATTGGAAACAGTTTCGTTTTGGAGTGAAAGTCACAGAAGTCATTCATGTATAATCTAAAGCCATATACAGTACTCCAAACTAAAGAATTTTGCCTTCTAAGTGTTCTTGATGGATTACCTGGTTCTTCCTGTTCCAATAATAGCTCATCTGATCCTTTCTCTGAAAAATGAAATCACATTATGAAATTACATTAGTGTGCATTGAGAGAGTACCAGTTATCTGCTCTGACATTTTATATATTGATTGAAACTCTGAGAGGCAAGAATGTCGTGATTTATAACAGTACAGTGGAAAACTGAGAAACAGATGAGGTAAGGTTACAAGACATGAGCAGTGAATGGCACGGGCCTGACGGAGCTGCTCTGTGATCAGGATGTGGAAAGGAAGAACATGAGGAATTCTTGTTCCCTGATGGAAGTGTAGTTCACTTGGATGTTTTATTTTTCTATCTTGTCTTACCAACCTATGTGGAGCAAAAACTATTGATAGTAAGAGTACATAATAATGCCTAGCCCAGCATTTCTTATTTATAGGTCTCAAAAACGCTTCAGAAAAGTAAATCAACAAAGGTGCCCAAACGTAGACAGCCCAGCAGGTTGGCAAGGCAGCCAGGATAGCCTCACTCACAAGGCTCAATCCAGAGGTCTGTCTTTTGGGCTGTGTGGCCTCTTACCACAAGAGCAAGGAAGGGTGATGTCAAGAGTGTGTTCCCATCCACAGTCTGAAATAGCAAGTCAAGTTGCATATAACTTAAACTGTTTTGTGCGGCGTGTTTGGTTTTGTCGGCCTGCCAACCTTGGCCACTAAGAAAGAGCACAGAGTATCTTTTAGTGGAGGGTTTTTTAAAACAAGTTGTTGTTGTTTTTTTGTTTTAATTGCTATTTACACGTTCCACCCTCTGCCCTTTTTCAGCTGCAGGGAGATCTTGTTCTATTTTAAAAGCTAGGGCAGGAACTTGAGGCTAGAGACTGTGGCCAAATCAAACAGGAATCTCACCAACCTAATAGAGGGCTGGCTGATAATAAAGGCTGTCTTCCTAAGCCTTTAAAGTTCTGTTCCTCCAAATACATTCACTTATCTGAAGCCTCTGGCTTCCCATGAGGGTATAAACATCTCCCTGTGCAGCAGGGTACCCTTTGACATTAAGAGGAAAATACAACTCAAGATAAGTTGAAGAGGCTTTTATGTCTAATCTCAGCAAGCATTCAGAGGCTGTGAATGTCTTTTTATCCTGAGTTGTTGGGGTTTGTTATGTTATTTTTTTCCTGGGAACACATTTTGCATGGAGTTTTATTACATCCCTCACAGCTTTTTTTAAGCCCAGCTGTCAGTGCAGTACTTGTTTGGTCAGGACTTGTGTGTTTACTCGGCATCTTCAGTATATAAAACTAGAGCTGTTTGCATGGCTTCCATGCAGCCAATTCTGCTAACATTTTAAGGCTGACTAATGAGGCTTGAAAGTAAATGTTTTCCAATTTTAACATTGTACCTTACTCACAAGAGCAAGGTTTGATGTTTTATTTTTTTCACTGGTAGAAGTTTTGATTTTGTCACTGGTATTCCTAATTAGAGTGATTTAAATAGGTGGAAAAGTTTTCATCTTTTCATAGGTGTTGAGAGGCTGTCAGTGAACAGCTCATAGAAAGCCCAACTCGCTTTCATAAAAATGTGGGCTTATCCATGTGATTGCTGAACTCCTGCACTCCTACTGCAATAATGATCATCTCCTCCAGGAGTGCTTGGCTCCAGTGTGTGCTTCCAGACCTGTTCACAGCTCCTTGCTTCATGCCCCTTCCCTGAAGCAGAAGCAGAACTAGCTGGCTACTGGCCTGGGAGAAAACAAGGACATTTTAGCATCACACTTACTCTTGTGAAGTGGAAGCTTCTTGAACCTTCTCCTTTAGGACAAGTGGTAATGGCTTCAAGTTGTGCCAAGGGGGGTTCAGGCTGGATATTGGGAGACATCTCCTCTCAGAAAGAGCCATGATGCAGTGGCACAGACTGCCCAGGGAGGTGGTGGAGTCACTGCCCTTGGAGGGGTTCAAGAAACACGGGGATGTGGCACTGAGGGACGTGGTCAGTAGGGATGGGTTGATGGTTGATTGTGATAATCTTGGAGGTCTTAACAAGTCTATGATTCTGTCATACAAATGAAGGGAGTCCCCCCCTCTACCTCCCAGGTCCTTCCGCACCAGGTGTTCCCCATGTTCCAGCCACCTTACAACTATATTTGTTTTCTTCAAAAGAAAAAATTCCCTTGAGGCTCATGACGCAAACTTGTTTTTAGATAAAGCACATATTCAACCACTGTAATTAACCTTCAGTTTTAAAACCTCCATTTTCAGATCAGCTCCCTACAGGCTATTTTTTCTGTTTGCAGGAATGCAGGAGTGTTGCGCAGATGGTCTGTCGGGATACTTCACCTATTCATTAAGTTTCATTAGATAACATTTGCTCTTTGCCATTTACAAATGTGACACTTTCTGATATAATTAGTGTTACTCCAATCAGAATAAATGGCTGTTTCATTTATTTTAAGTGGGTCATTAAAGTGCCATTCCTGTCTTACGCCTCTGAAGCTGACAACCATACCTGTTCACTCCCTTTTGTGAAGTCGAATCTAATTTCAGAAGGCAAATGGAAAAGGTAATGTATCAGGGCAGGTGTTGCTTGTGGCTCCTGCTGAGAGTGGTTCCTGGGCGGCTGATTTTCGCATGTGCTTGATACTCTGATATACTGACACAACTATTTGCTAAGGCACCTTCTGAAGAAATTCCCAGAGGCATCGAAAAGCTGGGAAATATTTAAAATACATAAGGATAATCTTCTGTTACTGTATGAATTCCTCTTAGAACTGTGTGGTTGTTAGAAGGAATATGCACAGACTGTGGCTTATCGAGAGCAGTCCTCGGATCTTTGTTTTCCCCACATTTATTCAGGATGTCCTCTCTCCAGGGGTCATGCTTGTAACCTGGGTGTAGCAGCTCTTTGTATTTCTCAAAGAGGTCCTGAGTCATTAGATAGTGCAATGCTATAAACGCCATTTTCTGAGAATTGAAGGGCAGATTTCTGTGATTCTTATCTGGGGAAGGGACAGAGATATCTCTTTTGAGAGAGAGATTTGAGAGCAGTGGGTCACCGTGGTGGACTCTTTCTGATAAATTCTCCTTGTAGATGTGGAATCCTTTGACGGCTACATGTTTAAAGAATGCTTAAGGCCACATCTGCAGGAGAGTCATCCTGATAGTTTTGGATATTGTAAGTAACAAGCAGGACTGAGGCTGAGATCATCTAGTTGTCCTCACGAAGATCTAATGTGATTTTTAAATTTCTCAAGAAGGGCAAAGATTTCAGAAAACAAAGCATATACTACTTTACATCTAGCTGTGGGATTAATCTACTCAAGATGTAGTAAAAATGTCTTTTCCTAAAACTAGAAGATCAATGGAACTCCCAGGGTAGCTTTCTACTGATGAAAGTGTGTCAGATCTTAGATTGCTAAAAATTTAAAAAAAGCACACAAACCCAACAACAAATAAGTTACTGCCAACACATTTATTTCTCTCTGCATTTTTTTGTTTTTCTCTAGTTTTCTCCAATTTTGAAGATTTCTTTTTTTTTTTTTTTTCTTATGGTCTCTGGTTTTCATTTTACCATGACTTCTCCTCCCAGTTCATCTAGGTTGCAACCATCAAGATATTTCTCTGGTTCTCATCACAGATGACTCATCAAAGACAAAGCACCCATTAATCGATCATCTTACTGATCAGCTTTATTTCTAGTAGTGTCTAGTACTGAGAAAAAGTTGTTTGAAGATGTTCTTCCCATCCTCCTCAATGCCAGTGGATATCGTGGAGGTGAGCTGCAATCAATATCCACTGTGATTACTAGCCAGTGACTGGATCAAAATATATAGAGTAGTGAAAAAAAACAAGTGGGAGCCAAATAGGAGGGATTTGTCCTTCTAGGCACATTGTGATAACTCATCAAGTGTTATTAATGCTTGTATATTGGAGCCATAAAGGTGAGAGTCTGGCCAAAGGTTCATAGGTTCAGACAGGATGTGCTGTATTGTAATGCCAATGAAATACAGTCAACAGGATACAGAGGGGATTTCAACCTGAGTGTAAGGGCTACCAAAGGGTCACTGAAAGTTACCTATATACACGAAGTACAGATTCCTCCACAGAAACTCTTTCTCAGCTTCTTCCTTCAATCTCAGGTAAAGGGGTAAAGCAAAGGTCAGAGAGCAGTGTGTTATTAAATTAAGAAAGTCAGTGTTCTGAGGTTGTCTGAGAAGCAACAGAACCTGTAGCATGGCAGAAGGGAGGGGGAGGCTTTGCAAGGAGAGCCACTGTGGTGCTTCTGCAAAATGTTTTTGGTGGATTTTTGTTTTACCTCATGCATGTGAAGTATGGGCCAATTACTTGATAAAAAGCCTGCTCCCAGCAGGGAGAACAGGTACAAGGAATACTCCCTTCCTCTGGAAATCAAGAGCAATCCAGCTGCAGTGGTATCTTCTAGTATTAGAAGATCTGTTTCACAGACGCTGGCATAGTGGAGTCATGCAGAGGAAGTGTCAATAGGCTTAGTATCTACGTACTGTATAGAGCTGCCATGTGAATAGGACAGTCCTCTGATGCACTAACAGGGCAGTGCACCTTGCAGTTGGCTGCAGCCTGGCTCTTCTCCTTCTCCAGGGATGAGCTGGTGGATGACTGGATCAGCCTTCCCCAGAATGTTTTGCTACAGCTGCTCTCAAGCATTTTATAGGCCTTCCTCTTCATATGTTGGCTTGCAGGTAGCTTATTCCTCTCCTTCAAAGTGCATGGCACATGTTCAGACTGCACGTGTGTCCTGGCGTGGAAACAGTCACACTGCCAAATCCTCCAAATGTTGTAAAATTCCAAGACCCAGTCCAAGTCTCTTAAAATAGCACATGTCTGAGCAAACTTCCTGGGGTTTTTTAAACAGCCTTCTGATGTGTGTGTTGGGGTATGAATGGAACTGCGGATTGCTGGAGTGTCAAGGGAACGAATGTGTATATACCCAAATGAGAATATTATGAATGAGTCTCTTCAGAGAAGAACACTGATGAAAAGGACACTGTTAGCAAAAACAACCACAGAAGTACGAGCAAATACTCGGAAGGAAGAACACCCAGGGGGAGTGGGTTCCCACTTTCTAGTGAACTACATTATTTTCTTTTCAGAAGTTATGCTAAATAGGAAAGATTTTCCAGTTGGTAGGTGCCAGAGAAATCTACTTCTATGGCAGTAGGACAGACAGAGCTCTCTTAATAGGAAGTAAATGTTCTAAAAACTTACTCTCTCATCTGTCATCATGGGATTGAAAAGCCTGACCATTTTGCATGTATTTACCATTGCAGCCCTCTGAAGATAGATGGATTTGCTAGACTCCCCATGAAAAAGATGAGTAAATGTGGCAGTGAAGACAGTGATCTGTCCAAGATTCATTCAGTGTTGAATTGGTCACCTTCATTTCAGGCTATCAGTTTCTCATACCATTCTCTACCTTTCATTTAGTCCTTGTATCTGCAGTATGAGCAGATGGGGAGCTGGTAGGGAATGTGCCCTCAGTAGTAATGCAGCCCACTGCTTTCTTTACCTTAGAAACTACCACAAGCTTCAGATCCAGTTTTCTTCTAGTTGTTAGTTGTTCTGCTTTTGCTTAGCTGGGTTCTTCAGTCACTTTGTTTCCATCTTCAGCCAGGACCCAGGCAAGGAGAACTGTATAAAAATGGGAAATGGGGCAGAAAGCTAACCAGGCGTTTTTAAAGCCTGTCTCAGGTTTCAGAAGAAAAAAAAAAGAGAAAGAAAAGAAATTCTTTGCTTTTTAAATTCTATCTTTACCAACTAGAATCTGCTTTATCTGCCTTCCATCAAATTAGTGGGCATGGTGGTGATGGGTTGACGGTTGGACTAGATGATCTTAGTGATCTCTTCTAACCTTAATGATTCTATGAAATCAGAATCCTCACTGCTCCTGGTGAGGAACTGTAAAGCCAGAAATGTGTGAAACTCAGCTTGCTTTCTATTGATCTGCCACACATTCCTTGTTCTTGCTGGTGTGTCCTTGAAGAGAACCAAGGGACCTTGGTAATGGTACCATGTGTTGTGGATTCCTCTTTGCTCCACAGGACCTTGTATTTCTCCTTGTGGTGTGGGTTGTGCTGGAGGCAGCACTGGCTGCTACAGCTAAAGGCTGAGCTGGCATCTTCTTACCAAGTCAGGCCTCTGGCAGGAGAGGCATAGTCCAGATTTCAGAGAAAGAGCTTTAATGGCTCCATGAGCTTTCACAGAACCCTGGGTAATCAGTGTGGTGGATTTATCCAGGTAAATGGTTTGCAGGTCTTTCCTAGCTCTTATTCGTAGCATACCTATTCCTGCCATGTGTGACTCACAGCACAGGATGGTCCTTTCCTGAGTGGGTGCAAATACATTTGCAACAAAAAAGCAGTTCAGGAATTCTTGACAACAGAGAACTAGGGACAACATAACAAAAAGGAGTCACAAAGCCCTCTAAGATTGGAATTAAAGAAGCTGATGCTGAGAATTGCTTCCAGCATGAGCAATTGTAGTGTACAAACAGTGTAGTTTGTTGTTTTGTATGAGGATTCTATTTGCTCCACTGCTCTCCATGCAGGCTTGAAGCAGTCTGATAACACTGTTATACTCTGGAAGCTTGCAAATAGCAGGTGTACAGCTGATCAACCAAGTGCAGTGACTGCTCATAAATCTCTTTTTGCAGGAGGCTGGTGAACTGGCAAAGATTAAGATACTCTAAACAGCAGTGTAGCATTAGAGGCATGCTAAATAGAATGAAGACTTTTTTGATGATTACTGATATATACATACGATGTAATTATTATCATTGAAAATACCGACTTCCTTTCTTTGAACATCATGTCTAAACAGGAAAAAGCTAACCTTCCTGTTTGGAGAATTGTTAGTTTCAGAAGGAATATATTTTTCTCTCCTACTTGCAGTTTTCAAAGATTTTATTTTTAATACAAATGGAAAAGACAAACAATAGGCTATCTGAAAGGAAGGAAAACCGCACATCTGAAGCAGACAGAGTCTGCTATGAATAGATAATCTTTGCTCTACGAAATAATTCATGTCACATCTATATACCAAATTTTGCATATTGGGAAAGGAAATGTAGACTTATTTTTGGCAATGGCTGCACTGTATGAACACAGCACAGAAAGCAAAAGGTAAGGAAGGTTAGAAAGGGAGGAGAACCCTCCTTCAATCCTTGTGCAAGAGAGAATCACTGAGGAGTTTGGTTGGCCCAACATTAGTGCCTAGATATGATACCAGATTGAATAAAAAGTCTGAATTTAACATTTCTACTATGTGCTTGGCATGGAGTGTTCTCTGTGGTTGGTGTCTGTGCTCACAGTGGCCTTCTGGTAAACCTCAGCTCCCAAAATGTGCTCTTGTAAGTTTTGTTGAAGGAAATACCAGTGCAGCAGCATCTGCAGTTCTGTTCCACTGTATGGAATCTTGATGGCTGCCAGGAGCAGCACAGTGACAATGAAGACCAAGATGCTCAGCTCATCTTTACAAGGGATGAAATAGAAAACATGTAACATGTGCATATGCAAAAAGTGCTTGTATCCCAAAGCAGAACAAAATCTTTGTCATTGCAAAGGTGTTTGTAGCTTCCTGGAGGCTGACGTGCAGCCTAGTGGAAATGTCACCAGCAGAGCTTTTGTAAAGACTACTGATGTGAATTTGTCTGTGTGGGAAGTCTGCAATGTTGTCATTTCTCCTTCAGGTTATTTCATTTCAGTTAAGGCCTTGTTTTTGCTGAGCCTATCTATCAACAACAACTACAAAATTTTCAATAGTTGAATTACATATGTGCTGAAGGCAACCATCTAGGGAGGCTTGGAAAGACAGCCTGTGTTGTCTTCACCATCTTCCTAAAGTTGTTCCTTCCTTACTCAAAGCCTGACTAGTTTATTCACACTTCCTATTTAAGTGAAAGTATTTAAATACTTAGACTATTTCTTAAAACGTTGGCTCTTGTATCTGTGACTGCATTAATTTCCACCTCGTGATCACCGACAAAGTGTAAAGATGTGGTCTTACAGAGTCAAATAACAAACACTTATCATTGTTTTGTAATCTGTCGGGGTTGGTTTTTTTTTTTGGTGTTTGTTTGTTTTTTAATATACCAGTCTTCTGATTTTGAATGCCTTATTTCACACAACTGTAAGCTTGCATTTGGTATAGAGCAATGAAACTTTGCAGCTATTTGCTAGAACTAGTCCTCCTTAATCTACTTGATTTATGAGAGAATTCTGTATGATCCCGTTTGCAGACTCAGACATTAAATCTTTTTCCTTCTCTTGCCTTTGCTTGCTTCTAGTTTCCACTTGGAATGAAATGGAATGGCATGAAGTGCCCTTTTGAAGAGAAGATGCTTAGGCTGCTTTATATACCCTTCCTAATTTTGGTGATCTCCCAGAGATCCATATGTGCTGCTCCTGCTCCATTTGCAGTGTTTTTACCACTCACTCCTGCCACTCAGTTGTATATTGCTCTTCATCTGTAAGTACTTTGCCAGGTATGGGTCTTGCTTTGTGATTTAACTGGACTGCTGAAATTCACAGTTCTAGCAAGAAGAGAACACATTAAAAGCCATTGTAAAATATTCAGTATCATATGAAATTGAGAAGGTGGCATACAATAATCTGAAGCCCAGATGGTCTCTGGCAGTAAGAAGTAGGAGAGCTGTCATGCTGAGAAAGACCCAGAAGCCAGCAAATGAGCTGAGATAATGATGTAGCACATGAAAAAGAAAGGCAACATGATTCTGAGTAACACATGCATAAGTGTCCCACTCAAGAGAGTGAACTCTGTAGTCTTGTCTGTGCTACCACAGAGATAGTATAACTGCTGGAGTGGGAGCAATGACAGATAGTAAGTGTAAATTAAGAAGGCAATAGCTCTAGCAGCATGCTGAACCATCTCCCTGAGGAGGCATTAGCAACTGGGGTTAGCAAATGTGAGTGGATGACACTTTGATGAGCCCACTGTGTGTGGATGGGAAGGGGAGCAGAACCCTGGTCTCGATGTGTGTGAAATAATAATCATGTAAAATGTGAGATTATATGTGGTCATGTTATAGGTGAGTTTTATTATCCAACGCAGAAATATGTTTGTGGAACCTGGGTTCTGGCCCCGAGTGCCCTGACTTTTAGTAGGAGTCCATGTAGACTTTGGACCCCAACAGGTTTGCTAACTGTAGCTCTTGAACTGCACTGGCTGCTTGACCGGTTAATGTTTATAATACACGTTGGTGTAGGTGGAAGCAAAGTCGTACCATCAAGTATCTCAGCCGATGCCATGTGGCACAGAGTCACTGTCCTCTGAATATTTGCCGTGGTGCTACTGCAAATGCATTCACCAGATTCCATCCTAATAGCTTGTTTTAGAGCCAGTGTCACACTTCACACCCTATTCTGGACACTCTCCAGCAAGTTAATGTCTTCTGCTGAGGAAGGTGAGTAAAACTGATGAGAGTATCCTTAACTGAAGAGCCATAAAATTCTAACAGAGCAGTAATGTTCCCAGCAAGCCTAAAGGGAATCTGATCAATAGTTATGAGGTTGGAGCTCAATTTATGGCCCTAATTCATCAAGCATAGATGTTCTCCTTTTTTGTACAGGATGCTTTTGCGATTTCTGCTGAGCAGAGCAGTATAAAGTCTGCATAAGCCCTTTCTCAACAGTTCCTCTGGTTTGTCATTTAAAAGAGGTGACTCCATGGTGGCGGTGATCAGAGTCCTATGATCTATTTGAAGTCAATTTTTTAGTCTATAGGACAGACTGTGCCAACTGGGAAGACTGCATTTGTTCTCAGAGTCTCAGGCTTGGAGTGGTTTCACAAAGGATAAAAAAAGAAAGTTATTTCAGATTTCATTAAAGTTTCACCCTGGATTTATTCATATGCCTACAAATTAGTCTGCAATCAGGAAGGGTTCAATAGCATTTTCTGCAAAAATCCTTCTGCTGTAAGTGCCAGCCTCTTGGAGCAGAATTTGCAGAGCAGACTGAGGCTGGGCTTCCTCTATTTTTATGACACCTCTGTGGTATAAGGATGTTTTCTCAGCTGGTCCTTACAGTTTTGATCACTTTACGCTTCCAAAATTGTATACAAAGATGGAGGCACATGGTGAAATTTCATCCAAAGTCTTCATTACTTTTATGTAAAAAGTCAGATCTGTTCAAAGTCTGAAGTACATGCAAGTTAGATCTAGCTGCCTCCCACCCATGGCAAAAACAGTAGAGAGAAGGATTTAAAACAGAATGGCAAAGCCTTGGCTAAAACCATCTTGGCAAACTATATCTACTTATATTCAGTAGTTCCTCCATATGTTATCTGAATTAAATTTTAAGTATCTGAAACGATAAGAGTGTCTTATAAGTACAGAGTAAGGCCCAAACCGGAGAGGGCATTCTATTACTACAACGAAAAATATTTTGTGAAAGTCACACAGATGTAATTTAAGTATGCTTTTAGAATTGCCATGTCTTACACCATGTGCAGATTCCTCAGCTAACAGTCTAGACCTGCACATGATCTTGATTGTACAGATTCATTCCTCCTTTGGCTGCCTGTCAGTGATGCTTAATAATGTTAAGTACTCTCTGACATAACCTCTGACTTCAAAGAATGCCTTTAAGTATTTGCACTAGCTAGAGTAAAAAAAAAAAAATAATAATAGCTTGACATTTTTAGAGAGCTGAAAGAAAGGCACAGTGATGGCTTTCCTAACAGCCTGCAGGGTCTCTGGAAAGCTGGGACTGCTGCTTCCTTCTCTGACCTTCTGCAGCAGCTTTTGTCTGTAATGTCAGTGGCTGCAATGGACAGAGGCAGGAGTGTAGAGAAACCCTTGCTGTTACTTGAGCCAACAGCGACACCCAGGGCTTCCTGAGCACAGCCTGGTCCCTTTTTCAGTCCCTCTGCCCCAAAGCAAACTTCACAAGGTTTAGCCCTTTTCTGTTCAGGGATGCCTACACTGATTGAGACAGAAATAATATTTCACTGCAGTAGTTGTATTAATAGAATATTGAAAGTAAATTAGATCAGTCACAAGTGCTTCTATACTCAAACAGCTGCATTCACATGAAGTGGATTGTACCTTCTTATTTCTATGAAAATAGTTAAGATGGTAGTTTTTGTTTGCAGCTCAGGTCAAGACATGACCAGTTTGTAAACCCATCCATTCCTGCATCTTCACTACAGAGAAGAACTTACCTAGCCAGTACTGGAATTATTTTGGTGAGGCTGAGCAAGCAGCTGCACAGTGCTGAGCTGCAGTTGTTAAACCACAGCAATGATAGATCAGACTTTTTATTAAAATGACCCTGAATGTCCCCCTGCAGATGCATATCTAAGAAAAGAAAGGTAAGAGGAAGAAAGAGCATACCAGATATTTATGACTCTAGAAAACTATTTCAATAGAATCAGAAAAAAAAGATCTTAATTGATCAAAATACAGGACATACCAAGAACAACTCACAAGACAAACAAGTTATCCATATATTCCATCCATAGAATGTGAAAGCTTCCCGGGAGCCACTTATGGCTATGGAGGTAGTTTCTTGTTTGGTTTTCAGGCTTGCTTCAGATCTGAAGGGGATACCTGCTTCTCTCTGCGCAGTGGGAAGCAGCTGAGAAAATGACCAATTGGAACAGCAGCAAATGAAGCATCCCAGTAACTGTGGCTTCACCACCAAGCAGAAGAATTGAAAAGGGGAAAGAAATGAATGAAGTTCAAAGGCTGTGTGTTGCAGTTGAGAATCTGAGCCTAGCTGAGTAGAAAACAAACAAAATCTATATAGCACCATTTTAAAACATAAAGTTGTAAGGCACTCCCACACCGTACAGTGGTCTCTTTTTGAAAAGAACAAAAAACAAAACAAAAATGGGCATCTTCCTGTCACTGAAACAGAGACCTGGAAGTATGTAACACTCTGAAAATCAATAGTAAGTTGTTTGAAGCTGAGCATCCAAAATGTGAGGCATTTGCGATTCATTTAATTCTTCTGAAAATAAGTGCCACTGTCCATAAAATAATTGCACTTTCTTAGCTCTCAAGTTGTTCCCAAGTTTAGTAGGATTTAAAATGAATCTCTCTACCTGCTTTTTCAGGAAAGGATAAAGCAGATCTGTTTTGTCCTCCCATAGCACAGCTAAAATAGAAAGTATTGAGAAAGCTAGAGACCCATCAACTGTCAGCGTGAGACTGTCGCTACAGTTTGCAGCTCTATACCACTGACGTTCCTTTGCACTTTTTTTTCCTTCAGAATTTGGGAAGAAAGGTTATCTAAAAACCAGTCTATATCTTGATAATCTTCAGGCCAACGCAGATATCGACTTCTTTGTAAAAAAATTCGAATTGGCTTATGTTTCATCAGTTGATATTGAGAAAGTGACCCAACTACTACCATAATGAGAGCCTCTTTCAAATCACTGAAGTATCTGCTCTGGGCAAAATTAAAGGCTTCTACACACCACCCATCTTTGAGAAAATGCCTGGTAACAACACAAATTGTTTTCCTGCTCTTCCAAATAGCATCACGAATATTGTTGATATGTTCTTCCCCAGGCAAGAAATCTCGTTCCTCAAAGCACAAAGTAAATCTGTTCTTATCAAAATACTGTGAATCCAAGTGCTTCAGCAAAGAATTCTGGACCCATTCGAAATCATTTTTGCTGTAGCACAAATACGCATCATACATGTATTCACTTGTATCTGCTGCTGGTGGATGGCTTCCTATCAAAGTTTCGGTGATGGTCTTATACCAGACAAAACAAATCCCCCGGCAGCGAGTAAAAATAATGGCTGACATCAGAAACATCAGAAGGGTGACAGAAATGAAAACGAATACTGAGAACCTGAGTGTCTGCTGGAGTTCATCTTCATCACAATCATCATATGTCAGAAGTGACAGTGGTACCCCTGCTAATGCAGGTGGGTATACACAGTACCTGTCAGACTCTGAGCCAGCTAGGGTTACATTGGTTTCATTTAGCCTCACTAGTAGGCTTTTTAAAGCACAGTCGCAGACATACTTGTTATGTGTTATATCCAGAATACTCAAAGTCATAAAGACTTCAGGGTTAGGGGAAAAAAGCTGGTTTCCAGACAAGTTTAGGTTTATGAGACTTTGTGGAAAAACCCCAAGAGAGAGGTGAGACAATAGGTTAGAGGCTAGATTAAGTATTTTTAGAGATGTTAGACCACTAAAAATCTCCTGTGGAAGAGCACTAAGGTAGTTGTTGTTCAGGAATAGAATCTGAAGTTTAGACAGTGTCCTGAACACATCCAAACATAAACCTCTCTCCCACACAAGCTGTAACATGTTTTCTCCTAGATCCATATAAATCAACTGGTTATTTTCTATAGCATTAACACGTTTTTCACAGTAAGAGATGCGATTCTGCTTTAAGGAGAGATACTGCATATCTGGAACTTGGAAAAGAACATACAGGTCACCCAGATTTGCGAGCCAATTTCTCTCTAATTCAATATGTGTTGCTGCTATTGCTGTGTGAGCTACAGACATCAGCTTATTGTCACCTAAAAAGGCAGTAGTCAGATGTGGAAAGGAAGGGAGTTTTTTTTAAGGCATTATCTCGGAGATCAATTATTTTCAGACTTACCAAGTTACTGAAAGATTTTTGACCAATCATCCCAATATGATTTTGCTGTAAATCAATATACATTATACTGTGTAGCCCCTCAAAAGTATAATCGTACAACTCACCTAAAAGGTTACTTGAGAGATTGAGAATTTTTAGGTTTTCCAAGCCAAAAAATGCTTGCTTTTGGATTTGATTTACCTTGTTTCTGAAAAGGTTTAGAAATTCCAGATTACCAAGGCTTTGAAAGATTAAAGAATTGAGAGAGAAAATGAATCCATTGGAAATATCAAGCAAACGAAGATCGCTTCTTGCTAGTCCTGTAAATGTATCCTTATCTGGATTTTTTAAGTTCTTAAAGCCAAATCCTGAGCCCATTGTATGAAAGCGAAATGATAAATAACTGATTTGAGTCCCCTTAATAGCTGTGCAGAAATACTGGACTGTCTCTGTGCTCCAGCCATTCTAACTAATGTCCAGTGAGTTAAATGTAATATTTCTGAAAGGATTTGGGCATTTGGCCCAGACCATTTTATCCGTCTTATACAAAGTGTTAGAGCTGAGGCTGAAAAATGAAAAGTGTTTTCCTTGGAAGCTGGTAAGATTACTTTCACACAGGTTGGATATCTTGTTGAATTTCAGGTCCACAGCTTTCAAGATGGTTAGATTATAAAATAAGGGGTGTGGATGAAGTTTTGTGATTTGGTTTCCTGAAAGATCCAATTCTTCTAATGAGCTCAGATCTTGAAAGTAACGCTGCTCCAGGATGGAATCTCCAAGGTTGTTCTGAAACAGACGGAGAATGGTCAAACGTTGCAAACCCGCAAAAGAATCGAGATCCAGCAGAAGAATGTTATTGAACCCCAGGTCCAAGACACGAAGGTTCGGCAGGTTCCTGAAAGCTTCTTTTCCTATGTAAAGGGGAAAGACATGTTGTGTTCCAATTTCCAACAAAAACAAATCCTCCAGCAGTGGAAATGAAGTTGCAGTCACTTGTCTGATATAGTTGTAAGTTAGAAAAAGCTTTGCGGTGTCCTTTGGCACAGGTGGAACACTTGTGAGGTTGCAGGAATTATACATGGACACTCGGTCTTCTGAATAGCAGCTTTTAGATACACATAGATCTCCAGCTAGTAATATACCAAAGACAGTTATTAGTTGTTGATGTAACATTGTGAATCTGCATGAAAAAAAATTAAAATATTAAGATTAATTCTGCTATTGACTGTCTGAGCAGTAAGTTGTACAACAGCTTTTTAACAGTTGTAGTATGAACGACTACTGGCATGCTAAAAATGACATTAGGATAAATCCCAGATTGCTTTCTTTGAAGTCTACGAGGTATCATCTGATTGTCTGATTGCTCAAAATATGGGTCCCAAAGAGACATGAGTTCCCAAGATGTGAAAAGTAACCCTACTGCTATGCATCTTAAGATGTAACTACTGCAAGATATAAAAAACTACATTTGCTGAACCGTAAATTGTTAAGCTATACAATGAGGTACATAGCATAATTTATGTATCTCATTGATTAATCCATTTATTAATTTATTCCTACTCTGGATTTTCCACACATTATGTCATCTGTCTCTCTCTCCCTCTCTCTCTGGCAAAAACCTCTCCAAAACAAGGCAAGTCTTTTTTACTGAGCATGATGTAGAGTAGAGTGAATTATTAGCACCAAAGTAGTTGTTTCTGTACTGTAGGTAGAAAAAACAACACCACCACAGTTAATTAAGATTGCAGCCATCTGTCTCTCTTTTTTAAACAACATTCATTGAAATGATTTACTGACTGACAACTCAGTGTAAGGTTTTTGGTGACCTCCAGCACAGTCTGCTTAAAAACCACAAAGTGTAAATCCTGGTGGAACCAAACCCTCTGATGGCCACCAAACAGCTACAAGGTTTGCCTGTTTCAGAAAGGAAAAAGAGTTGGGCTTTAAGCTGGTAATTTAAAGGAGGTAAATCCCATTAATTGTTATGATTTAGACACATTGCTCCTTTAACGTGCAAGAACAGAATTTTATGCAGAATTTAGGTCTTGAACTAAAATCTTTTATGCTTACTGCTATTGTGTAAGGGGCACAGACTGAGGAAATGAACAAGTATGTCAACAGAAAACAATCTGATACTCACATTTCAAACACCAAACGAAAGTCCAAGCCATTTTTAACAGACTGCTAAATAGGAATTACTAATAGATTAGTACAGTACAATCAGGTCTCATAAACTTTGACACAGTCCCACAGAACCTAACTCTTAACAGAGTACCAAAACTCTGTTAAGAGACTTTAACTGCATCTGTGAGGAATTATCCCTAGTAATAGAAAGTAATTGTCTTTTCTACTCCCCTATTTTTTTTATTTTTATTTTCTTTTTACCTAGCAGGCACTGTTGAAAGGCTGCATTCTAAGTAGCAAACTGTATAATATTGTAAGTCTTCTTCATTACTACAAAAGAGGTAGGGGGACTGAGACTGTGACCTTTGTAACATATATGAGCCAGAAAGGAGTTAGCTGTCCCATGGAGAGTCACAAAGAAATTATCATTCATCCTTTCCATGCCCCCAACAAAAAATGCACTGCAGTACACACAGGTAAATAATGTGTTAGGTATCCCGTTTTTGCTGATGGCCAAGAACGTTCACTTACTTGATTTTAAGAAGAGTGATACGAAGGGGAAATTTCAGTTTCAGAAGTGGTTTTGAGTCACAGTCATTAGCGTGCTTACTGTCCTCAGCTGCCTCTGCTTCTGCCACAGAACCCCTGGGTCAGACATAAATCAGCACATGACAGTTCACCTGATGTGTACTTAGGAGAACCATCAGCTGACTTCAGTGGTTCTGAACTGTCAGCCAGAGCTTTTGGAGAATGAAGCAGCAGAGGTGCTGGCTATCTGGACAGGCTCTAGAGAAGATCACTCTGATACAATTATTAGATTTATTGTTAGATTGTTAAAGATTTTTATCAGTAACTTATTGTAGTGACCATAGTAGCTTCCTGTGAAGAATTTTCCTAGGTGATGCTCGTGTTAACTTTCACCAAAACCATCCAGGCCATTTTCTGTAGGTCACTGAATCACAGATGAGTGGTGTGCAATGGTACCAACTGCTTTTGATAAGTGCCTGAGAATCTCACCTATAATTGCTGCAAGTCTGTAGAGGGAATGAACCTGAATCCTACTGCCAGCTGGGAAGGCATTCTTTTCCTTTAACTTCATATCTAAAGGTCTTGCAATCTCGAAAGCAGGATGTAAGTTCTCACTTGCTGTTATCCTGATGTTTTTTTATGAAATGCTGCTAGCTGTCACAGGCACCACAAAAGCTCCCAAGGGAAAGAGAAGAAAAATGTGGGTTCAAACAATGTCAGCATGTATTTCTTGCCTGTAAAATTAATACGTAGAGGCCAGTACTCTTGTTTCCCTTCCATACCCAGCAGAGACAAAGACCATTTAATTGTCCGTTTTGATTTTTCATCCATGATGAGATGTCTTTGTATTGAAAAAATCAGTGATTTAACATAAAATTAATCTGTGCACTGATTTCACCATCACTCTACAGTTTTGCTTGCGAATGTCTACAAAATACACTTAATCCAAGTTCTGTATGTACATATCCAGAGCCAGGCCAACTGAATAGAGATTGTTTTATGTTTCTTTAAGCACAACTGCAGAGTTTGCAACAGATTCTGTGAATAAGTTTCTAGACAGAGTGGAGCCATACCTCTGCTTTCTGTCAAAATCTAAGATTTGATTTAATCTTCTAATTTCAAATCCAATCATCAAGAGATGTTTCTGTGTAGATAATCATATCATTTCAAATGTTACATTTCTGATTTTTAGATATAATGCATTCTTTCTAACTTCTGTCCCTCTTCTGTCTTCACCAGAGCTGTGGTACAATGAACGGAGGGTCGTGCCCAGATGGAGCTTCTAAATTCCACTTGAATTATTTACAGTCTTAGTAGGATTTTTTTTCCGACACACACTGCTTCTCTCTCCATGGCATCCAACATTGCTGACATAAGTTGCAGGACATCAGCCTCCAAACCTTGAAAAATGATACATCTAAGTGGAAGGAGACACTGAAAGAACCGGGAAAGAGTTTCCCGCAGCTTTCCAGTTTTGCAGAACAAAGGAAATACTGATTGAATGCAACATTATGCCAAGGAAGCACGTATGGACAAAATGAAGAAGACAGTAACAGCAGGTGCTAATCCTGTACTCAATACTCAGCTCTGAAGTTGAAGCTAAAACTAGCTTTTTTAATTCAACAAACCAAAATTAAGCAACCATTATTGTAATTCCAGGAGTTTATAATCTTCCAGAAGAGCTCTTACAGCCCTTGGATTGTTGTCTGCTCAATAGCCAAGCCTCAGTAGGAGAAATACAACATTGTTACCTGACATACATACTTGCTTATAGCCTTGTGGTTAAAGCGGTGTCTTTAGATACAGCCTGAAGCTTCTCAAACTGAGGAAGGTTAAGATACTCTGCTTCCTTAATGGTCTAACTGGGTCATGGTATCAGAGGTCTCTCATTTCCACGCTCAGTTTGAAATAAAATGTCCATGAACGGTGTGCTCTGCTCTTGATTTAGAGCTGCAGCTCTGTCAGAGATGTTCCATGCAGGTTCCCCAGAGGATGCAACTGATGTGCAGGGCTCCTCACCCTGGGCTGTTCTGTGCAATGGTTTGCACGTACTGGGGGCAGCAGAAGAACATGGTGGGGCTGTGTAGGTTGATGGCTGAAGGAAGGGAATATGGATCAGATTTCGAGGACTTGGCTGTCCAAATTCAATCGAAATTCACCTGATTAGATCAATGTGTTTTTCTCATTCATCAATTCTTGGGTCCCTTACTGCCACTCAAATGAAGGAGCCTTCCTTTCCTGTTATGTCTGTATATCCACAGCCACATCCTGATTCTTAAAGAACAGTGAGTCATTTTTACTTCTTGGAGGAAGTGCAGATCAAGGAAAGTACCCTTATCTAAAATGTTACAGGTTTTTCTTCACTCGTGGTATCACTTATGGACATCTATCTAAGGGACTGGTTATACACACTGACTGAAAGGCCTTCAAAAAGCACCCTCTTTCTTTTAATCTTAACAGTAAGCCAGCTGACAAGGAGTTTGTTTATAACATTTATCTAGGCCACAACAGAGATCTTAAAAGATACATCACACACAGTAAGGCCAGCCACATAAAGGGCAGTGAGAATATGCTATTGTGAGAGTAGGTATCACTGCTGTTGTCCTGTTAGATCAAATCTACTTACTGAAACAAAAATAAGGCTCCACGCTTTTTCCCTGGCTCTAAGCCATCAGAATATATGCATTTGGGCTTGTAAAAAGTTGTGCAGTGTAAACAAACTGTTCATGTGGGGCCCCTCTAGCCAATTACAATCTAAATTAAAAAAGAAAAAAAAATAAAAATCAAATGATTAATGAACGTGCCCTTCCAACCTCCTCAGCCTCTCCCTTAAGCTGCTAGGATGCATAATCCAAACACAGCATTTTCCATCTTGGAATCAGAAAGTGTGCTATAAGGCAGGTGAGTGGTGAGGCAGTTCCTTTCACAGATGGGAGACCTAAAGCAATAAGGCATTACGTGACCTGACAGAGCACAGGTGTCATAAAAAACAGCCACTGATTTGGGTAATGAGAAGCTATGCATTGGATGTAATTATCTAGTTCCTGTTCATCACTTAGATTCATTTTTATATGCCTTAAGATCATATGGTGAGATGCAGACATGCACACTTCAAAGACCATGATTCCTCTACTCTTCTGTTATTACAGCTCTTGTAAAACAATGTGGTCTCCAGAAGGACAGGGAAACAAATGTGAGTGTATAGACAAAAAGCAGGCTGGTGTTGCTTGGGAGGGAGACACCCAAAACAGATCCAGGCACAGAGAAAGTGCTGTAGCCCCAGAGTCCAGCCCCTGACACTGCTTTGAGCATCTCCCTCCTGAACAGCACCAGCTTGCTTTTCTGCTGGGCTAGTGACCCCACTTGGTTTGTCTGCCAGCCCCAGGCAGCCCTGCCCTCTCTGATTAGGGGATGATGAAGGCTGAGAGAGACTCAACTAGGCTTGAGAAGGGTTTCTAGTACTCTTCCAAGCCATGAGGAAAGGAACTTCTCAAGGCTTCATGGAGGACAGCAAAGATTTTTTCCAACTCACTGCTATGATTGTTTCTCAGTGAGAGCACCTACTCAAAGCTGCATAAACCATCCACACACGGGTGTTCCTGCTGAATCTGTGTTGGTTTCTTTTTCTTTGAAAAGTAATATGCAATACCTACCTGGTCTAGATTAGAAGATGCTCTGGGAAAGACAAGTAGCTATTGTTTTGGACTGTGTTTTTCACAAAGTGAGTTTAGCCCAGGGACAAAAGGGCCCTTTTTTTGTGCTTCTGCAGTAATTAGAAACAGCCAGGTTTAACACTCTCAGATCAAGAGAAGATCAAAGAAGACCATAAGAAGTAAATATTAAGAATGACAGCTAGGTTGGAGGTGCACTTTTAACTTAGGAGAGGCCAATGCTCAGAGATTTAACATAAAATCCTGAGGGGGGAGTGGAGAAAAGCATCCAGAGCACAACTCCTAGGGCCAGAGGCAGAATTTGGTACAGCCTTGCCTACAAAGCCTATCTTTTAATAAAGCTAAGCAGCACTGTGATGCCATTAACTGGTGGTCAGGCAGAAAGCAGCAGTAAGGGTTGGTAGCTGAAGTCAGCAAATATTACTGAATGGCTGGCTGGAATTGAAGTGACATGGTGGTCACTCCATTACTCCTGCAACCCAGTCTGAGCAGAGTATTTAGTAAGAAATTATTAAAAGATCATAGGGACAGGTGCTGATAACAGACAACAAAGAAATATTTCTTTTGCAAGTATGTTTTCTGCACAAATATTTAAAAAAAACTATTGAAACATAATAAGCTGCAAATGTAGGAGGGAGACAGACAACTTAATTGAAGTTAGAAACCTGCTCTGCTCTTTTCTTCAGACATTTAAATGGTAATTTGTGGATTTCTTTTTAGTAGGATTAGAGTAAATTTAAGTTAGTTCTAACTTGCCACTGGAGGTGCAAAAATGTGAGAAGTACATTTGTAAGTATAGGTGAAAGAAGCCTGTAAGCCTGTGCTGTAAAAGCCATTGTGCACAGGAGATGGAACAAGTGAAGAAGGTAGAAAAGCAGCTGGCCTGCCTGAAAGTCACTGCAAGAAGTGACTGGTGAGCTCCTGTACAATGCAGTGCCAAACCCTCCTGTGTCAACAAATACCCACTAACTGCTGAAGCACTGATTACTTAGGACTCATTTTGTTTCTAGAAGTTGTTGCACAATAACAGCGCTTCAGGAAGAAACTGAAAGCTTGTCACCAATGAGGGGGAAGATAATCTCTCATCTGCCCTCTGGCACAAAGCCTAGCTCGATGAACTCTCCCATGACCTGGGAGATGGTGGATGCTCCTTGCAGTAAGTCACAGAATTAAAGGTGTACTGTAACAACAGATCACAGCACGAAACAAGGCAGCACCTACAGCTGCATTTACGCATATTCTGAACTAGAAGTATGCTTACATCAAAACAGTCATGTGATACAGCCAGATTTAGATGCAGACTGCTCGGCCTTAGCAGACCCAAGGCATTGCCAGGAGTACACAAAACAAAATATTGCGTGCTCAGACAGTTGAGCGTGACAAAAAAGGGGCAGAGAACTCTGATAGCCAGGCAGGTGGAGCAGGGCCTCGTCAACTCCTGCCTTGGATGCCTACATACTTCTTAGGAATTTTACACCTTCACTACGCCAGTGCCCCACCACTCTTTCTGAGAAGTATTTCCTCATATGCAACCTGAAGCTCCCCTGGTAGCTTTGTCAGCCTCAGGGGCAGGGGGAGAGGGGAGCTGCTGGATAACATACTGCTTTCAAAACAAGTGAAGTGCAACCCAGGTGATAAAATCTCCCGCAGGATGGATACCAACTAACGGCTCAGAGTGGAAAGGCTGAGGTGGGAAGGAGCAGCTCGGCGCCTGGACAACCACAGGCTGCAAAGGACCTCAGAAAGGCCTTCAGCGGGTCAGGCGCGTGGCATCCGCATCTGCTCCGACCTGCCAGGCTGCCGGGGAAGCGGAAGGTGAAGGACCACAGGTGCACCCAGCGCCAGCACTCCTCCCCGCACCGCTGCAGCACGAAGCCCACCATCACGCCCGGAGAAGAGAATGTAGGGGTAAGCGCTCAGCTCGCTGACCGCAGCACGGGACGCACGGGTAATTCTTGGGTGCGCGGCCACGGGACGCCCGGCCCTCGTTTTATCCCGTTCCTCCCGTGCCTCACGCCGCCCGCACTCACCTTCCCCGACCCCGGGGCGGCACGGCCGGCTACGAGACCCCCCTGCGGAGACGGCGGGCCGGAAAGCGGCTGAGCCTCCCGGGAACGCGTAGCAGCAGCTCTCCTTCTCTCCTCCCCCACACACGGCGGAGGGCTGCGCGGGGTTACGCTGGCTGCGGATGGAAGGCGTGCGCGGGGCGGGACGGGTCGCTGCGGGCACGCGGCAGCAATTAGCAAATGCCTGCAGGGGGCGGCCTTCGCGCTGCGGCGTGCCCAGGGCGGTGGTGGAACACCTGTGGAACGCGAGGACGGCAGCAGTTACATGGATGCTGGCTGACTTGCTGCCATCAGCTGCTGTGTGGGGATCCGGCCTCCGTACAACGAGCAATATCATCTGTACTAGGTGATCCTATCGACTCGCCTCGGTGTGAACAATGTAGGAACGGTGTTTGCTGCTTGGTGCTCGAGTTTTCATGCTGACAGGCACATCTATGGAGAAAGCTTCGGGGGACTTGATAGCAGCCTTTCAGTACCTGAAGGGACCCCCAGGAAAGCTGGGGAGGGACTTTTATAAGGGAACATAGTGACAGGATGAAGAGAAATGGCTTTAAACTGGAAGAGGGTAGATTTAGACTAGATGTTAGGAAGAAATTCTTTACTGTGAGGATGGTGAGACACTGGCACAGGTTGCCCAGAGGCTGTGGATGCCCCTCCCAAGCATAATTCAAGGCCAGGCTGAGTGGGGCTGGGAGCAACCTGGTCTGGATGGAGGTGTCCCTGCCTATAGCAGGGGGTTGGAACTAGATGATCTTAAAGGTTCCTTCCAACACAAACCGTTCTGTGATCTCTGTCACTTCTCACCCTGACCAGGGTCACACTGCCCTTTCAGTAAAGAATTCCTAACATCTAACCTAAACCTTCCCTCTATTAGTTTGTATGAGGCTGCTGAATCACAGCCTGAACCTCTGATTGATCACCTGAGGTGAGCACTGAGTCAGCCCTGGGAGCACAGGTGAAGGCAATTCAACTGTGCTGCATGAAGGGGTGGAGCCTGGCTCCACTTCTCCTAGACCCATTTAAGAACTGACTGCCAGTAGGGAAGGGTCTCTTCTGGAGAGCCGCTCCACTGGAGTTTATTACGCAAACCCAGGATTGGGTGTTTTCTTTTCCTTACTCCAGTATCATAATTACATCAGACAAATTCCTGGATATACTATACCATCTGTATAGTCACTGATTGTACAATTGGTGAGCCAGGCAGGAGAAAATAACATGAAAATAATTGAATGGCGATTCCACCTGCCGTATTATCCAACGGGGGCAGGCCTCATCAAATGTTATAGCGGTATTCTTAAGGCTGCCCTGAAGACAGACTCCCTGTCCCTGCAGGGGTGGATGAAAAGACTGTATGAAACCCTGTGGAAGTTGAATGAAAGACCCCGAGACGGCAGACCCAGTGCCCTCAGGATGCTGCAGACAACGTGGACCACCCCGCTTAGGATCCAAATTACGGGCACTGATCATCAGGTAAGACCCCAGATTGGTAACGAAAATAATCTTCTGCTCCTTGCCCCTGAGAATTTAGATCCTGGCACCCGTATAATAAAATGGCCCTGGAAGGTGCAGGTAGGACCCAAGTGGTGTGGCCTACTTGCACCTTGGGGGAGATTGTTGGAGGCAGGAGGCTCAGTAGTTCCTTCAGTAATAGGTACATGGCCTACTGATACTGTGGTCAACATTCCGATTTTCATTGCTAAAGGGACCCCACCATGTCCCTGGGGCAGATCAGGACACCTCCTTTGGTGCCTGATATCATTATGCAGCCGCAGATATCCGGCCAAAAGGTGTGGTACAGGCGGCCAGGACGTGCCCCAGTACAAGTGGAAGTGTTGACTCAGGATAGAAATACGGCCTCTGTCTTGCTCTGGAGGGCAGATCTTCCCCTCCTGGTACCTCTGAAACATCTGTATTACTCCCCGTGAGTCTGTGAGGATTACTGGAAGGAACAAAATATCATCAAAAGTGTTCCAGTGTTGCTATCAGATCATGTCCAACACCTGGTAATGGTCTACATGGGACTGATGGAACACAGAACAGACCTGCACCTCACAACCACACGCCTCCAGTAACATCATTGAGCACTGGCCCATAGAAGAATATCAGTGTTCACCAATCATCACTCATCTTAAATTTTACCAACACGCGTCGCGATGAAATTGTATAAGCGCCGTGGTATATCAGATCTCTGTATTAGGAAAAGCTCACCCTAAAGTTTGGTTCATGCTGTGAAGGGGTGGAGTGTATGGGGCTGCTGAATCACAGCCTCTGATTGATCACCTGAGGCAAGCACTGAGTCAGCCATGGGAGCACAGGTGAAGGCAATTCAACTGTGCTGCAGGAAGGGGTGGAGGCTGGCTCCAACTCTCCTAGACCCATTTAAGAACTGACTGCCAGTGGGGAAGGGTCTTTTCTGGAGAGCCACTCCACTGGAGTTTATTATGCAAGCCCAAGATTGGGTGAGTGTTTTCATTTCCTTACTCCAGTATCATAATTGCATCAGACAAATTCCTGGATATGCTATACCATCTGTATAGTCATTGATTGTACACAGTTTAAAGCCATTCCCTCTGTTCTCTCGCTGTCAGACTGTGTAAAAAGTTAATTCCTCTTCTTCTTGTCTCTTTAAAGACACAATGAGGTCTCCCCAGAGCCCTCTCTTCTCCAGTCTGAACAAGACCCATTCCTTCAGCCCATTTTCATAGAAGTACTCCAGCCCTCTAACAGCTTTATAGCCTTCTCTGGACCCATTCTAAAAGCTCCCCATCTTTTTTGAGCTGGTGGCCCAAGAAACTGAGGCCGAATGGTAGTTCTGTATCTACTGATTTATTTACCTGGTACAGTGACTCTTCTAGAAGAATACAGTACCCAGGAATCAAAAGGCATTTAAAATATGAGTACAGGGTAACTTTTATTTTAAAATTTTACTCTAATCTTCTGGAAAACATTTTTGTAAAAGAGCTTTTTGCATTGGCCAGATAACTTTTTAGCACTGTGCTGCTTGGCCATAGCCACAGCTGTGAGCTGGGGATTCATTTACATTGCATAGAAGGGTTTCCTAAAATGTTAGATCTACAGGGTATGCTGTGTTAACCAAAGCTTCACTAATCAGGACAGCTGGAGATGCCTAGCAGAATGAGGGCTGTGTCCTGAGAGTCACCCATGAAATGAGTCTGTACTCTGCTGAGGTTGAAGAGCTCTAAACCTTATGGAGCCAACTGCCTAAGACAGCCATTACACCTAATTTCCAGCAGTTGTAGCACTCCTCTCCTGCTCCTCCAGATCCTCCTTCCAAAGCCTCTTTTCTCATACTAGGATCTGACCTCTGCTTCTGTCTCTGATGTCCCACCAGACCACGAGGAGATCTCACTGGGAAGTTCTCTATTCCAGCTGAAACTCTTTCGCTTTACATGGAATTGATTGGGCTAGAGATGGCAGCAAGGTGCCTGTCCTCATGCTAACCTGGCTTTTGTACTGTGAATTACTGATATTTTTGTCAGTTCTCTTTTAGGTATTATAACTAACAGTACATGCATGTATTTTGATGGTATCAATGCAACTCTTCAGTGATCCACTCATGTTAAATCAGGAGGGACACTGCAAGACATTCAGGTGCTGAAGGAAAAGTTCCAGAGCCACAATAACACTATTTGTGTAGCTAGAGATTAATTGTGCTAAGTTTGGAATACTGCATTTAGATGGAACACGGGGAATTAGATCAAGTCAAATAAAATAGTTTAGGAAAAGTCCTACAAAATTCTTTCAGATCACTTTGGTTATTAAAAAGTGTTTGTTCTGTGCAAATTTGCAGCTTGAGGAAGCAGTTGTGATACTTAAGCCCAAGTAGTATAATCCTGTTTTTCTATTTGGTCCTGCTTTTCCCATTTGCAATAGAAGAGATGGAACTGGATATTTGAAGTTCAGAATATATTCAGGAGTGATCTCTACCACAGTAATAAACTGGGGAAGACTGTAAGGATGTAGCAAGTCTTCACCCAGTCTGCCACCCCTTTGCAGGTGGTAATGGTAACACTCAGCAACAGAAAATAGATGTTTGACCCCAATTTGCACATATCTCACCCTGTGGAAGTATCCTATATGGATACTTCAGTTTCCATTCCTTTATTGTAGCTTGTTGATACAAGTGGGAAACATGCAAGTATTGTGGGTGTTTGTTCGTTTGTTTTGTATTCTGTTAACATAGGCCTCTAACTGTTCATCCACATCCATAAAAGGCTGAGATGTTTTATTTTGAAGTTACCGAAGCAAGCCTGGAACCCAGAAAGAACTTAGGTGACACCTTAGCTGGTTTCAGACTATGATAAAAACTTTGTAAGTGCCTGCAGCAGCAGGGAAGCAGGAATCCTTTCCTAGCTTTAGGTTTTGAGTGTCTTTTATTTAAAATATTTGGTACGTTTCAGCACAGAGGCTCATCTCAGGGTGATGCAGCATTCACTGCTGCTTGCTAACTATACCATTACAGGAATGGCTTTTGTGAAAGGTTGGAAGTCCAACCTGGAACTTTTTTAGTTGGGTGCATTGAGTTTGATCTCTCTAAACTAAGCTCACATGTTATTATTACAAGTGAAATCTTGGTTCTGAATTAAATCCTTTCTTTTCAATTATTAAAACCCTCTGAGTTTAAAATACATAATTCACAGGGCTCTATCAAAGATGCTGACATACTCAGCTCCTGAAAGAAATGAAACAGCTCCGTGGTCTGTTAAGCAGCCTGTTTCTTTCTCATACTGCCCCTGACATACACACATCACATTTTCCACAGCACTGTGCTGACACCTTTAAATGCCTTCTTGCACAGAGCAAGCAATGTAATTCCAAACGATGCAGAGCATGTTGTGTTTTGACTACAAAAAGAACACCTACACAACCATCTCGTGCTGTTGTCATTTGTGAGAAATGATGGAAATTAAAACCAAAACTGTCTTCCTGTACTGTGTCTGTGCAAAGAAGAGGTGCTCCCAGCTCCCCTTTGCATTATGCAGGTCATACATGTGGTGAGTGAGAT